CATCTGTCCCTGAAGCCCGTGTTCTTTTCCTGAGGACTGGGTCATAAGGTGCCATATCAACCAGCGTCATTGAGTGCCAGCCTTGGGGTCCTTCTCGGAGCCCAGGGCCTGGAGCTCTGTGCTATCAGACACTGTCCAAGTCCCGGCCAAGGGAAGTGACCTCAAGTCCTGTCAACTCTCTCCTTGGGCCAGATCAGATCATTGGAAGGCTGTGCACTGATCTATCATCCTGGCCTTCTGCGGCTGAAGATGCATTTTGTATCTCTGGCTTTTACTGAAGCTTATTACAACTAATCACTACATTTGCCATAAAAAGACCTCGACTACCCTAGCGCGCTCGTTATCTGTGATAAAGATTTAAAACAGGAAAAAATTCTTCGAATTTGTTAGACAAAGGGTTGCTCCCTTTAAGGAATGTTTGCACACTTCTTTCTGCAAGTAACAGTGAGTGGGTACTGAGCACTGAGTAGAACCTGGGGATACTGCGTGCTTACTGTGGTAATGTGTTTGTTACTCACAGGGAGGTTTCCTGGTACCCCTACTCACATTGAGAAAGCCAAGACGCAAAGGCATTAATCAGCTCAAAGCCAATGGAGCTAAACTTTCTGCCTCCTATGAAAAATGAAAAATTTTAAACAGTTAGGCCTAACTTTCCATTTAGGCAGCTAGGAAGCTCACCATTAGTGAGAAGTTCAACAGCGGCAACTATTCTGTGGTTGATATAGTTACAGCCTTACTTTGCTTGAGTGAGGCTTTGCACTTTTATTTATATTTTATTTTTTCCCTGTACATGTTCTTATAGTAAGCTAGCCTAAACTTTGTAGAATAAGGAGAAATATATGTGTGTGTGTTTTGGATTGAATAATGTCACCCGAAAAGATACGTGGAAGTCCTAACCCCTGGAAGGTGACCTTGTTTGGAAATAGGGTCTTTGAAGGTATTATCAGTTAGGTTAACACGAGGTCATACCGGAGTTGGGTGGGTCCTCATCCCATCTGAGTGGTGTCCTTGTAGAAGAGAGGAAGACACACAGAGACAAAGAGGGAAGGTGGCCACTTGAAGATGCATTTACAAGCCAAGGAATGCCTGGGGCTATAGAAGCTGGGAGAGACAAGGAAGGATCTTTCCCTAGAGCCTCCGGAAGGAGCATGGCACTGCTAATGCCCCTGAATTTGGACTCCCATCCTCCAGAACTGCAAGGCAATGTGTTTCTGTTCTTATAAGCCGCCACTTTGTGGTATTTTGCTATGGCAGCCCTAGGACTCTAATACAGTGTGTATTAAACACGTACACTCTTAAATGTTCCTAGGATGAATGCCTTTTCCCTAAACATTACGCATAGACAGTTCTATCCCCAGTGTATGACCAATGAACTAGTGAATGTTTTCCTAATGGTTTTTAATAGGATTTTGCCCTTACGTATAGCAGGTGCACTACTTACCCATGTAAAGTGCTACCACCTGAAACAGGAAGATGATGTTTCATGATTAAGGCATCTCTGCCCCGTGACACCCTGTTGAGTGTAACTAGCATATGTTTATCCTAATGGGCCTCATGTGTCCAGCTCTGAATTTCTGAAAATGACCGTCACGTCCTGGGAGGAACCACAGGAATTCCACAAAGTCCAGGGCGCCCTCTTCTGGAGGCTTGTCTCCCTTGATCTGTAATTTGGGGAGACAAAGCTTCCACCCACCTCAACAGAATGGCCTGCACTGGATCTAATCCTATGAGTCATGAGCACTACAGGAAGGTGAGGGGTGGGAGCAAGAGTTCTGCTTGCCTTCCTGCCTGTCTTTCAAATTACAAGAGCAGCATGTCCAATGCCTATGAGTGTGTTGTTCAAAAAATCCTCAGAAGCGGTCTACCTAAAGTAACCTGGTTCCCCCAAGCACGGCCAACACATTGTTCTCTGTGCCACTGTACCTTACAATGCTTTCTTCCTCCTTGTATACCTATGCAAAACCTGAAGTATAACCCTGAAGTATAATCACAAAACTTAGAAAAAAAAGACAACAACAATAACTGGAAGAAATAAAAAGTACATCCTGATGAGTACAACACTCCTGCGTCATTTTCCCATGAAATGAAAAAGTAAACAAAACTTTCAAGTGCATGGCTCAATAAGCTATTTGTTTTGGACTTCACCAAGATAGGAAGGAAGCTTGCCTGATTTTAGTTGTGCAATTTGTGGTTTTTGAATACGCAGCACCTTCTCATGCCACTACCAGTCACAGCCCCAGCCACAAACGTCTCTCAGTCAAAGACGCTTATACCAGCTAAAGCACATTATTTTTTTCTGACATTTCACAGAAATCTCTAGTACGCGTGTCCTGGAGAAATTTGTGAGGTAAAAGAGTTTCTCCACATTCCCTACATCCTTCCTGCCCCAATTCTTCTGACATATGAACAAAACACCGACCAGGAGCTTAATGACGATCATGAAGTGTTTGCCAATGACTGAGGTGTGGTGATAAGTGACCACAGAACACAGCGAAGGCTGGTTTCCTGTCATACTTAGAGAATTTACGGTCTAGTTAAGGAGAGACTTTAAAGTGAGAGGGAGCTGCTGATTGCATTTGGAGAAACGTTTGTACAAATACATCATTTTAAAAGAATTCGCATGTATATTCTCCAGGATTATAGAGTCAAGATGAAGGCCCAGAATAATTTTAGTTGGTTTTTCCATCTGCGCTTCACTCCAAGACTGGAATGTATCTGAATTCCAGGAAAGGGTTACGGATGGGAAATTACTGGTTTCAAAGCAGCCTGGCTGGCAGGGAGCACAAGTCAATATACCTGTGATTGCTGAGCACCTGACAATGGCATCCACCCTGTTGCTGCTGTTGTTGGCCCTGACTCACGGCAACCTATGTGTGACAGAATGAAACGCTGCCTGGTCCTGTGCCATCTTCACAGCTAATTCATTTTCAGAGTCCACCCTACCCGCTGTCAAATGAAGTGTGGTTATCTACACACGGCAAGCTCCTCGCACTTCCCCTTCGGTTCTGACTCAGCCTGACTGGGCACCAGCCATAAATGCAGTGGAGATGACTCTGCCAGGAAGGGTTTCCCAATCCCTCTCGCTGGAATGGCTGGAATGGAGAGAGGCACACACTCACCCTGCAGATACCGGCAGCTGTTACAGGGACCCAACACGAGACATCACAGTGAACTCAGCAGGCATGAGACTGCCTGGGGTATTGTTCTTTCCCATAAAAGACACACCAAAGTATGAAATGCTTGAAATATTTTGCATTCCCATTTGTTTTCACATTCATCCCTAGATGATAATTCTCCATATCGAATATCTATTAGAAAAGTAAGGAGGACTGCCTTTGAAAGTGCTTCAGGAATTAGATCACCTTCCAAATTTAAGGAAAGGGTTTATTACAGAGTATCTTTTTTACATTATATAGTGTATATGTTATATGCATGCATATATATATATATATATATATATATGTTGTTGTTAGGTGCTGTTGAGTCAATGCCGACTCATAGTGACCACATGTGACAGAGTGGAACTGCCCCATAGAATTTTCTTGGCTGTAATCTTTACAGGAAGAGATTGCCAGGTCGTGTGTGTGTGTGTGTGTACGTGTGTGTATGCGCGTGTGCGTGCGTGTGCATGCGTGTGTGTGTACTTGCTCCTCATTCAGGCAGCTTCCATAGTCACAAATTCACCTATTTGCTAGTGGCGTTTTCACTATTATCCGTGGACATATGCATAGCAGCGAAACTCTCCCAGCTGAGGTTGAACAAGGTTGACTCAGTGTTTGCTAATTCAATGTTTGGGGGTGTCTACTGTGAATAGCAAGAACAGCTGTTTATCTTTTTATAATTGATCAAAACAGAACAACCGACATTGTTACGAGTAATCCTAAAAGCAGTTAACTAGGGGAATAAGGATAAAGATGATATTTGCTTTAAAAAATAAATTTGGCTGGAATAATTCTAAAACTCACTTTTATTCGTATGTAAAACCTAAAATTGGACATTTGTATCATGCCCTTTCCTATTATGTCTTTTATGTACATGTCACTGGAAATAGCAGTAAAGCGGTAGTGTAGAAACACTTTAATTTTAGAGTTTTATGGATGGATTTACTCTTACAAGCTCCAGCACTCAGACCTGCCATTTAGATACACAGACGGAGACCACACTCCGAGTTGTAAAGGGCTCTCAAGCTGTCTTCTCTACTCTTTCCTCCACCACTGAGGACTGAGCGCCCCACCACCCATGGCGGTGGATACGCCCAGGCAAGCCTCGAAGAAGAGTTCTGTGAAAATCAATATGAAACGAGCAGAAATCGGGAGACGCGATGCGTGGAGGAAAGAAAATAAGACCTACGGCAGGACAGACCTGCTCTGAGTCTCTGCTTAGCCACGTGACCATGGGCAAGTCCTGTTAATGTACAAATCAAGTAAGAACATGTTCATTTACTTACAGAGGGGGGAAGCTGAAACAAAGACAAGCATCAACATGTAAAGCCAATTTATATTCAGGAAGGCACTATGAAAAAGTGAAATTTTATAGAAAACAGTTATTTCCAAACACCTCCTGGATCCTCTTTGTTGATAAAACAAACACCACAGTATCTAGGCTCTGGTATAATTTCACTTCTTCTTAGTTCTTGTTTTATGGGCACTGTTTAGGTTTTCTAATGCTCACACACAAACAAATAGATGATTAAAGAAATACCATAGGGGAAGAAAAACCTGGAAAATCTCTGGTGTCTATGTGTACAGGAAGGCATGCAAGAATTAACGGGTTCAGATACCACGGTTACCACAGTGGCTGTTGGGGGGAAAATGGGATTTGAGGAGGGCAGTGAAGGGGAACTTCCCTTTCAAGCTTCTATTCAGTCTGCATTTTTAGTAATGAGAATAGACTCATAGATTACTCCTAGAATTAAAAAGTTAAAAACCCTCCCCAAATGAGAATGTATTTGCACACAATTATCACCTGAGACCACGTATTCTAATACTTATATTACGTACCAAACACGTCATTGTCTTCTGAGGTCTCCTGGGAAAGTGCTTGAAGGTTCCTCTTTTTTTCTGATTCTCCTCTATTGGTATTACCATCCTGGGGGGGGCACAAAAAAATTAAGATATAGTGTTTTGTCAACAAAATAAGTGCAATGCATTTTTCTCTTCGTAGAGTTTTTAGCAGAGTCTTGGGATTCACAGAGGATTCTGAATTCAGGGTTGTTTTCTCTGCCTGAGATCTCAAGCATTCTCTTGGTCCAGCTGGTTTAATCAGAGGGAGCTTAACGTAGCCTTTCCACAGGTTACAGCTATAATTCTGAGCAAGAACACAGAAGCAGTGGCACAACAAATGAACAACCTCATTATACCTTCTGCTGGAATCCCTTCTACTCATGTTACCAGCAGATATCCCCATGAGGAGTTGGGCAGAGGGTTTAATGGCAACTACAGAATTTGAAAGCAAGATTTGTCAAAGGGAAGGTAGGTTGATAACATCCCACATACACAGCTGGGAAACTCTTTGCTCCTCTCACCTAGTATGGTGGGCTTCCATCACCTGGATGGTCCTGGATGACCTTGTTTTACCCTGGGTGGTCCTGGATAGCCTTGATGACCTTGAAAGGCTTTGGATGGCCCTGGATGACCTTAGATGGCTTTGGGTGGTCCTGGATGAACTTGGATGGCCCTGGATAACCTTGGATGGCTTTGGATAGCCCTGGATGAACTTGGATGACCCTGGGTGGCCTTGAATGACCTTGGGTGCCCCAGACAACCTAGGATGGCCCTTGGATAACACTGGGTAGCCCTGGATGGCCCCAGATGATCCTGGATAGCCTGGACCTCACCCCTGGGATTGGGAGTGGCTCAATCCATCAAGAATGCCCTAATTGTACATACCTACAGTGCCGGACAGCTGCACATGTGGTCCGGCCCTGGCTATGGCTCGTAGGAGCAGCACTGTATAGGAGGGGTATATGCTTCACCCTCAGCCACAAGGAGACCTGACTGCACCCAGGGCCCTCCCGGCTCAGCACCTCCACAGGAAGGCTAGGGGTGAGTTAGCAGCCAGGAGACATGAAAACAGGAGGGCTGCAGGAGGGGGACTGATCTCTCCAATCTATACCCTCAGTGGGGGGCCACAGATATTCCCCAGTGGGAAGGCTTAAGAGTTAGAAAAAAGAAGCAGATGATTCCAAAGTGATTAGAGGGGTGACAAAGTGTCTTGTGGAAAAACGTTAAAGGGCCTACAGTTATTTAGCTAGGAAGAGAATGTCCTCAACTAGCAGTCATTCCCAGGATCCTGAACTTTAGGGACTTGCGCGGCCACGCTGGCAGGCAATAGTGGCGCTCCACTCCAAGTGCCCGCATCCACGTCTGTGTACTGATATACACTGCAACATGGTCGAACCTTGGAAACATTCTGCTCAGTGAAGGAAGCCAGTCACAAAAGACCACACGTTGTATGGTTCCATTCATAAGAAATGTCCAGAATGGGGGAATCCATAGACACAGACAGCAGATTACACACAGTCCCCCAGGATATCAACATCTGACTTACAGACAACTCGTACTTAAGAACGGACTGCCATAAAGCCTATTACAGCAGTCCATTCTTAAGTAGAAGTTGTCCATAAGTTGGACATTCATAACCCGGGTACTGCCTGTACATACCAAGACAAACATTTGACTAAGTGACACTAAATAAAATCACTATGTACCTGTTCCGACTTACCTACAAATTCGACTTAAAGACAAACTTAGAATGGGTCTCGTTCATAACCCGGGACTGCCTGTAGTGATTGCTTTGAGCTGAGAGGGATGGGGAAATAGAGGGTTATAGTTAAAGCATACGGAATTTCTTTTATGAGGTGATGAAAATGTTCTAAAATTGACTGTGGTGATGGTTGCTAGCTCTGTGTACATGCTAAAAACCACTGAATTGCACATCTTAAATGGGTGGATTGTATGCTATGTGAGCTGTGTATCTTAATAAAGCTGTTGAAACAAACGAGAAAAGATCAGCGTGCCAGTGGTAAAAAAATGAAACATCACAGTATTATGAAAAGGGCGTTTGGGATTACATGGGAGATAGCTTGTGCAGCCGTTTTCCTAAGGGAAACATTATCTTCGATTAGGAAATGGACCTTTTACTACTTCAATTTAAAGCCACACTCTTGGCAAGATTGTTCTGTAGTGTAATTAAGATTCCAGTGTTCTTTACATAATGAATACAAAGAACTGTGCTAGGATTTTCTTTAAACATTGACTCTTAGAAGTCTCACCAAAATAAATATCCACTAGAGCCCATAATAAAGCTGTTTATCAAGGCCTGTTATATAACTGGACATGCGAACTTCTATTCTGGGAATGCAAATATCCTGCCACTTATTCCTGGAAGCCCCTGCAGTATCAGTTACTGAGCAGAGTGGGAAGGCTGGGCTGGTAAGGAAGGGTGAGAGGGAGTGAGTGAGGAAGAGAGGGTGAGAGGAAGACTCTGTTCAAGCAGCTCTTTTACTTAAAGAGTTTGGGAGTCAAGTGAATTTCAAGTTTGATTAAAATGCACATAGAGCCAATTCATGCAAGAGCATTCATTCAGCTAGGGGAAAACGCCAATCTTAATTTGAAAGTGAATAATTTTTCCTTAGTTTTATATAACAAAAACTGTCTGACCAGTTTCCCTAAAAATACTACCCTAGGAGACCCGGTGGCACAAATGGTTAAGTGTTGACTATTAACTGAAAGGCTGGGGGTTGAAACCCACCTAGAGGTATCTTGGAAGACAGGCCTGGGGATCTGCTTCCGGAAGGTCAAGCCTTGAAAACCCTATAGAGCAGTTCTCCTCTGTACACATGGGGTTGCCATGAGTCAGAATCAACTTGATGGCAACTAGCAACAACATGATTGCATGTTTTCTTCATTTAATTGCTTCCCGTGTAATGCCCATATGCTGGAAGGTTAATAATGGCAAATAGTTATGGATATATTTTTGCTCAAAAGGCAAACACATTAATATATCAGAACATAAATAATTTTTCTGAGTATATATCCAGCTCTGTCACGACAACTGCATGGCCCTGTCCCGTTTCTTAAGTTCTTTAGTTTCTTCTACTGTGAAACAGGCATAAGAATACTATCTATCTCCTAGAATTACTGTGACTATTAAATAGGGTCATATGTGTCAAGCTTATAGCAGGACCTAACCCTCAGCTAAGACACGGTCAAGGCCAGTGGCCATCAATATTTATTTTGCTACTGTTAATCACCTGACTATTTTCCATAGGCAAGTCTTTGGAAACAGCGGAAATAAAGTTGTCTTAAGTAAAAAAGAGGTTTTAGTGGGAGTGTCAATGCAATATGATTAAGAACTAAAAGAAAAAGAGAGACACAGTTTGCATGGAACTCCAACTGCAGCTGCGTTCTGGTTCCTCTGCCCTAAAGGAACAAGCCCGCGTAAGAAAATGAGAAGTTGCTGGTCTCTGCCGGTGGGTGCCTTTCTCCAAAGCCCAGTACGGCCATCCCTGACCTCGTGATCAGGCAGGTGAGTCACCAACAGAAAGCCTGCTCCAACCTGCTCTCAAAGCTGGAGTCACAAGTCAGGCTGGCGCTTGTTTCTGCCCCCATTCGAGGTGGAAGAGAGTCACAGGAACTTGATTAAGAAACGGAGTGGGTTTCAGATTCTCATCAGCACAAGTGCTCATAGATGCTAACCATCAAGACCAGTCAAGACCAGTCCTTCTTCAAGAGACTGAAACTGCGTGTTCTCGGCAAGGGCCCTTCCAGGGGAAATCTGGTGTTTCAGGTATAGCGGACAATAAAGTCAAGGTCGGATGTGGTTATGAGAAGGTGTAAGTTACAAACGTCTTCTGAAATCCTCTTTATGGAGTATTCAACCCATTCTAATAGGTGACAGCTTAGTTATCCAAGAAAAACACCGATCAGCAGAGGCAAATCCATGGAGGCAGAAAGCAGGCCAGTGGCTGCCTGGGGCTGTGGAAGGGGAGGGTGTGGGCGACTGCTAAATGGGCCCTGTATGGGTGCCGCTTTCCTTTGGGGTGATGAAAACTTCTTGGAAATAGATAGAGGTGGAGGTTGAAAAACAACGTGAATGCCTTAAATGCCACTGGCTAGTTAACTAAAAAAAAAAAGCAAAACTGATTTCTAAAAGGAGGAAATGCCTACCAACAGCATTTGAAAACAACATTTAAAGTAACATTTTAAATTTAAACTTTAAGACACTGGTATTTTGTTAAGTGACTTAATAACGGTTATGAGATAGTAGAGTGGGAATGAAGGAGCCCTGGTGGCGCAAAGGTTAAGCACTCAGCTGCTAACCGAAAGGTTGGCTGTTCAAACCCACCCAGTGGCTCTGTGGGAAAAAAGACCTGGCGATCTGCTCCCATAAAGATTTCAGCCTAGGAAACCCTATGGGGCAGTTCTACTCAGTCACATGGGGTCGCTATGAGTCAGAATCGACTCGATGGCACACAACCACATAGTAGTAATGCATACATCTATGAATAATCTACATTGTGGTAATCTTAAATTGCCATGTGTAATTAATGTAATTACTAACTTGCTTTATTTATTTACTTAAAACCTGTGTTTGGTTACATATGACTTGTACTAAAGTATAATTTAGGATTCATGAAATAACAAGGACTCTGATTTTCAAGTAGCAAATGCCGTAGAAACACAATGGTGAATTTTATCTAGGCTTTTGTTTAACTAGCTAATCATTAAATTAATGCAGGTGCCTAATTGCACTTAGGCGGATCATGTGTTAGAATCCTCTAAGTTCAGAGCTGGGGCTGAGCATAAGAAGGTGCTCGTGTAGATGTTGATCGGGATTTCAGAGTGTGCAATTCTGACAGGTAAGAAAAACACCACACACATAAGTGTGCACATACTCATGCATACATAGTCACATGCATACACACTCACACACATACATGCACACAATGCAGTCATACACGCAGACGTGCACCCATATGAGCACATGTGTACACACACTCTCACACATACTCATACACACTAATGCACACACATACACACGTGCACTCATAAACTTACGCAGACATACACATGTACACATTCACA